TAATAGTGACTCAATTAATTGCATCAAATAATTGTATCAATTGTGTCAAGGATCTATGAATTTCAGCAACATGTATAATATAACTATAGACATAGTGAGCTCTAAAGAGCACAATATTTTTTTATTATATAAAGACTTTAATATGATTAAGAAAAACACATATATAGGCCATTATAATAAATTGTTGAAAATTTTTCTACTGGACACTTTTCAAGCACCTATATTTAGAATAGAGCCATGATGGTTCTTAGGTTCCTCTGCTCTCTTTTTATTTCAATAAAAAATCATTCATCACATATTGAGTTAAGAAAATCCTCATTGTATTATTTCCTAAGTTAATAGCCAAGTTTAGCTGTATTCTATTCTTGCAATGGGAAACTGGTCTAGTTATTCAGTCTATCAAAAATTTTATCAAAGAGAAGTTTTTCAATGTTGAAGAAAAATACTATTATATACAATATAATCAATGTGACCAATAGGAGGATCCTTCATAAAAGTCATATAATCATAATGTCTAAACATTGCAAAGGATATTTGGAAATAGATGAGCAAGGTAAGTAAAATGAAAATCAGTATTTCCTGCTACTCCACTTTATTTATAATGTGTATATATTGTGGATGGGAAAGGTATAATAAGGGATGGACATATAACACGATCTGCATGTCACATGTCTAAAACTCAGAAATGTGATGTTGAAAATGAAATAGTTTATATGATAGTCTATTAGTAAGCTTAAAAGTCTAAATCCATAACATCAGTGATAATCTATTCTAGCATAGCAATAAAAAAACAATATACTTATGAAAAAGAAGAGGAAAATCAAAAATAAAACAAGAAAAACAGAATACCCAAAAATTATTACACTCCATAGTGAGACTATTAATTAAAAATTGTCAAATTAGTAGTGTGATCAATGACACCAAAGAAGAGAATTTCCAATTAATAAACTTACCTCATTTAGTACCACCAGCTTGGAAAGAGAATAATCTGAAGGGTCGTAAAGGGACAGTGGCAAAGATTATTGGTAGAAGCATAAAGGTGAGGAACAAGAGAAACTATAGTTAATAGGAAACCTGGCCAAGTCAAATCACACACCTTGAATAAAGAAACCTACTTACCTGAATATTACACGAGCGCTGGTCCCAAGAAGTGACAGACTCACTGAAAACCACATTCACAATATATTTAGAGCATGCTAGTATAGTTTTGACCACTTCCAAACTGTTATACTATTATCAACTCGATTATATATGCATGACCAACAAAGATCTCAAAATTAACGGCCTAGGTAGAAACAATCAGGTCGCGTACATACAGTATATATAGAAGCTTGTTCGTGACGTAGTAAGTGATATATTTACCTGCGCCACATATTGGCTGAAACCAAATAAAACAGGCCAAGTCATATGATCTGAGTTTAACTTACCTACTTACCTTGCTCATCAATTTCCAAATGTCCTTCGCAATTCAGATATTATGATAAATTAATCAGGTTATTTATTGATTTGTAATAATTGTTGAAGTTGGTGATACGAGTAGCAGACGTCCGATTGCTGATGTCAATATAACAAGAGCTGAGTCCCTGCTTTGCAATACCCTTTACCCTCCTCACGATAACAATTAACAAAATAAGGGAATAAAACATTTAACAAATTTTAATAAATCTTACCCACGATAAATAAAAAGATTCATACACTCGAAATAATATCTATTTCTAACGATTAAGGTTTGTTTATTTGTTTATATGCTATGACACCCCACACTCATGTATATATGCTAATAGACCAATTTTCACTTATAGATGTCATCGCTTGCTGTTTTGGGAATCGTTCCATTTTTGGATTTCGCCGGCCTATTGATGTTTGTAGAGAAAGTCTATATGTACTTATCGGTGCCACGTTTTATTTTTCACGTATCACTAGCAAGACATCGATGCCAAGCATAATTCCAACTTTTCTACACGTGATACCATTAATGAAATCCTTGTAAATCGTGATGCCAGATTCCAAAGGATTTTGACAATGCTTAATACTTCTACTACGAGACTTGGTGAGATCGAGCAAGTTCTTCAAAACGAAATTGATTTACGCTATGCCATTATCCAGGCATCAAGGGACATTTCTTCCGAAATAAGGATCGAGCCTATTGAGGAAACAGAAATTCAAGACAACGGCTCATCCTCATCTGATCAACAAAGCGAAGCTTCTGCCAAAGACTTGCGAATATCATTTTTGTAATCCGGGAACAGTTTACGGATATCTTTGATAGAGTTAAGGGTGCGAATGATTATACTTTAGATCGGATGTGTAATGTTGTATCGACTGATATTCTTAAACTTGGAAAAGATACAATAAAGGGTTATTATCGTGGGGAAAAGATTAAAAGCGAAAACTTAGAAAAAATTGACGCCTGGGTAGACCATAGACGGTTTTTCAACCACTGAGTAACAGGGAAGGAACAACCATTATTATATGGGTTAGGGCTCGGCATATTTCCTCCCTTGAAACATCCTGCTACTCCATTTATTAGCTTGGCTGACTGAACTTTTTACAAAAACCATACATGTGTATGCGATTCGCATATATTATTTAGCAGACATATTTTTTTATTCATAGCAAGAACACTGATCAACTGAATCTACGAAAATTTTATGCTATTTATTTCATCCAACAAATTTTTTCGTTTTTGTCTAGAAATAAAAATTCCTACATTAGAATGCATTTACTACCAACTTATAAAGATACAAACCTAAGACTATCCACTAGCTCCTTAATGACCGGTCCAAAAATATGCTCCATGTTACGATCATCAACAATAATCACAAGATCCCCATATTCATTGAACCGAAACAATTCTGGTCTTTTATTACGTCTATGAGGAAGTTCCACTGAAACATAAATATGTTTTCGATTCTCAGTCAAGGTTTTGATTTTCCCATGATTCTTTGCACACTCAGAGACCTTAGATATCCGGTATTTCTTGATGTTTTTAGTGTAGTCCAAACCATAATCTACATCATCAATGTTTAAATATTGTTCATACTCTTCCTCTTATAAGTCACTCTCATCATCTTCTGAGTCATCCTCTTTGGCTGTGGTATCATTGGGAATTACACCAAGACCTGTTTGGAGACGTGTTCTTTTTTTACAAAGAGAAAATTCCACAGTTTCAGAGTTTTTTTTCTTTTTCGGGCATTCCATATACTGAAATTTCATACATGACTTGATTAACTGCTTTTTAACCTTGTCTTGCTCAATAGGACTTCTGGAAACTATATAGCTTGCTAATAACAGTACTATATTTTGCTTATAATCCACAATAGAAATCATCAAGTCCGACCCTGAATAGGTGTCTGGTTGGATTGCATAATAACTAAGTTTCATCTTCAACATATTTGGCTATAGGAACTACTTTTGATAGATTTGAAATTGTTACAAATTTCATCGTGGAAGTAATCCATGAAGGAAGATTAAATTGTTAACTATTTTTCCACCTATTAAGTTTCTCTTGTGCATTAAGCCCACATTTTTGAATTATTGCTATAATAAAGATTGTATAAAATTTATTACCAATTGATGGAATGCCATTGAGCCTGATAATTTCATTAATAAAGACCTTTACCAAAGTTTTTCTTCTTGTGTTTTTAAGAAAAAATTCTATGTTAGAGATGATATAAGATTCAAGTGATGTATTGATTTCAATTATATCAGGAGTAAGTTCATTAGATCCAAGAGTGATGCATTCTGGTGACTTGCAAGGAATGATGCTGTGTTGAAGAAGCTTTATGGCTGATTCGTACTTTTGATTGTAAAAAACACGAAGCCTAAAAACATTTATAATTGTTTTATCTGGATTGAGATTATTAACATTCAAATATATATACGTATTTTCTAAATATTCTGCCATGTCCTTGCAAATTATTTTATCTCATTTCATAAGAAGTTTAATAATTTCTTGGTTTTTTTGATCTTTTGTTCTATTAACTGAAATTCACTCTGATATCAACAGCCCAACAAATGATGCACAGTTTCGAGATCATTCTCTTAGAAGACATTCCAATAAGTTAAGAATTTTAGGTGAAACATCTATCAGATTAATTACAGCATTGAGATTTCGCAAGACATCATTATGTGAAAAAAAGGAAAGCTTTAGTACAGTATAATCCTTCAAACCTTATTTTTTTCCAATATTAGTACCAAGAGAAATTTCACTTGACATATATATATAAGTACTGGCAAGAAAACAGATAATGTGAAGATGGGTAAGGTGTTCAATGTAAGCCTACAAGAGATTTCATTTTTTGTTTTGAACTGAGCTTCCTATGTATTCTCCATATTTGGATCTACATAGGACTTGTGCCTCATCAAATATTAGGGTTAAAGACTTTACATTGAGACAAGAATTGATACTTTTGATAAGTGTAGTAATATTAAGAATATCATAATTTTTATGAGCTAATTTCCTTTAAATATTAAAGTTATCTATTTGAAGCTATGCAAACAGCCATTCTTTTTGGTGTCAAAATATTTTTCTCAATGAGTATCTTTATAAGTAAAAGTTTACATAAGAGTATTACCCAGTTCAGCATACAAAATACATGACTTTTCTGATCATGCTGTTCAAACTTTGGTTGATTAAATTTGATTGCTGCAAGCTTTGACCCTATATGATTATCATATGTTCCTGTACTAGGAGAAGAATCAATATATATTGATCAATATTGCATAGCTATTCCAAACATTGCTGATGTTTTTCTATCACTTGAAACTTCAGCAAGCACAACTATGCCTCCAATATTATTTTTGATCTTTTCTTTCACAAAAGAAACTGCTTCTTTGAATTGTGGATCATCATAAAAGGGATTATGATGGTTTACTATTCCAGATTCATAAGAAGGAAGACATAGATAAACTGTTGTGAGAGTTTGTTTGGTTATACCTCAGGGTAATCATGCTTTGAAAAAAGAGAATTCCACCTTCAGTTTAACATATAGGTCATTTTGTAAGCCCGGAGAGTCACTTTTCTCTGTCTTAATGTTTCAAATCAAGGTGAGCGCATAAACAAACTGGTCAATTAAAAATTTATCTACGTTTGGAAAAGCCTTTATAGCTAAAAAAACAAGAGTGGACGTGAGCAAAAAATCATTTAAAAGAACTAAACTAGTGATCTTAGTTGGCAAAAATTTTTCTAATCGATTAGTTGTTTTTAATATAATTAACTAGTTGCAACTAAAAATTCTGAATTCTGATTGATTAATTTTAAACTTTTAACTAATGATTTGTAACACTAAACTAAACTTCTAATACAACGAACCTTTTTTTTTTAATTTCAATTTTAACTTCGTCAGAAGGGATGTACGAAACTAATGCAGTAAAATAAAAAATAATAAAACACTTGAGATCCGCCTGCCATTGTCGATTGCAAACTTAAGCTATAAAAAGATATCTTTGTTCGAGTGATAAACCATAGGGAGACATTTACCAGTGGTGGCGGGCAGTGGTGATTGCACGATGATGCGGATATTCTTCAAGTCACTATACGCAAAAATGTCACCAAAATCATCAAATGGTATCAACTTTTGTCCTTCGAGTTCTTGTATAATAATAGTATTTTCATTATAAGATCTGTTTTCAAGTATTCTCAGTTTAACGAATTTATCGTTTTCTGCAGCGCCAGGAATATTCACCTTCCATAGATCCAAATTGCTGGGATCAAAACCTTTGTTTTCAAATTTTCCCTTTCTCTTCTCGTAGATTAATTTCCTTAGTTTTGAAATACTCATTCCTGCCTGTTCGACAACTTGAAAGGAGCTCCCAACTTTGGTACCCATCACAAAACAAAATACCATGATATCAGTAATATACTGTACCTGCAAACACATAAATCAAAAGTTAAAATGTGAATTAAAACTGATTTTCCAGTAAGTACAATAAACAAAAACCTTGTTAAAGGACTGCGGACTATTTAACGGGTGTTTCTTTCCATTCATTTTTGTATATAAGTCCAGTTTTCTGTTTACATAATCTTTAGTGAAAATACTAAACATACGAAAACTTACCAAGTTTATACAAAAAACAAGTGATCTTCATTATACGTCACGATTGATTTTGCGATACAGCCGGCATTTTAAATAAATGCACAGTACTATTGTATTAGTATGCCTGTGCGACATAAGTTGTTGAAAGTATCGAAGTTTAAAAGAAATGAAATATACTTCTTTTCGGTATGCATTTACGAAAAAACGACTCAGGACTCGCAAATGAATGTCATTTTTCATACAGACTTGAGGACCTTACTAGAATCTCGGAATGCAAACAACATAAATTTCAGCAGATTCTGATAATACACATTTTATTTTATCCAGTATATTGATTATTGGGACAATGAAACCGAACCATGGAGTAGGATAATGTATATTAATAGACAAGCGAAAAACAACAGACATTAGCATAGAAACGCCATTTCACTTTGTAAACAGTTTATGTATTACCGAATCTTATAATTTATTTTTACATCAATAAATCAGTAATTCCGATCAAGATATTACCTCATTTTTTTTATCCATGCTAATAAACTTTTGAATTATTCTATCTCATATAAAAATTATCATCAAACATGTAATCCAACGATTCATTAAAGGAATTAAATGCAAAGCTCTTGACTGAGTTGCCAAACTTAGGAAAGAGAATACTGAAATTCCTAAACTGAGAGAGAAGCTACTAAGATTTGCTAAGGTTGAGGCTGAGAATACAAGGTTGAAGCAAATTATTGAAGAAAATATAATGGGTGATGTTAGAGTCGAGGAATTAGAGCAAAAAAATAAAGAGCTTGAAACCAGAATCGCTATATTAGAACAGGAAGAAAAAAGTATTTACAAAAGATGGTTCACAATCTCTAGTAAATTCTAACTCAAATTATAATATTACTCCTGACAAATAGAAAATATTATTATAATATAAAATCAATAAAGAAATAATATTTCTTTACAAATACAGTAATATAATAAAAAATAAATACTGTAACTTGAAAAAAATAATTTTATTATTATTATTAGAACTTTCCTAACTCATTATCACATGCAAGACATAAGTGTGTACACATGTGTAAATTACAACGCGTCAGAACATATAAAATAGGTAAGTTTTATGTAAAAATAACCCATTTGAAAAGATTTATTTTTACCCTTTCTTTTCTTAGGCTAAAAAAAAAACCCTCGGAAGCCCCTTTGTCGAGTCTATGATGTCTGCTGATTTTAATGAGTCAGTCATGTTTTGAGAAGCGACTGGTTTCAAGAAATGACACATAGGCAAGTGGCGTTATAGCATTGTATTTCCGGGTTCGTTGTGACTATTGGTATAGCCTGAACTAGTTGTAAAGGTATTGGACTTTTGCAATCAAGAACATGTTTTACTTCTAGTCGGCATACAACCTTGGTACTCTGTCTATGCGTTGTGAAAAGTCGAAATATTATTCTATTTTATTTTTATTTGACTTTTTTTATTTTATTCCACTCGTCATTCCCTATCTTATCATTTTCATTTTATTGTCAGCCCAGTAATGTCCACTGATTTCAAGTAGCGGAGTTGGTATGTTCCATGTGTGCACATGAGAGACTCAGTTTTTATGAGCCATGCGCTATGACATTATAGGGCGAGTGATGTATAGTACTGTCTTCTTGAGTTCGTCGTGACTAGCAGAAGTTGGATTTGTCGGCGAGTATTTACGTGATCTAAGCTTGTGCTAAGTGACATGAAACTTTATATCTAGACAATTAAAGGAATACTACTATTGAAAAGAACAGAACTACTTTAAATATCTTGATCCAAAAATTCATTATCTCTAGTCGGAAAGCAGCTCTTTAAAGGGACCTCTTCTATAGCTAGTGGAAAGAGTCGAGTATTTTATATTTGACTTTTATTAGTTTTATTTATTTTTTTTTTTGAGAGGAATGATAGATAAGGTGCGTGAATTTTGTATATATAATTATCTGTGTTTTATGAATATTTATTTATTGTCTTCGTTTTAACATGTCTTTAATAAATTTTTACTATGTAATTATAGTACTAAAGATATAATAAATAAAATAATTTTCAGTAAAAAAAAAGAAATTTATGGTGTTATTGCTAATAATCAATAAATTTTCGTAATAAGTAGTTTTTAAATATTTTCACTAGTGTTTCTTCCACTTGTTCAGGCCGCTCTCCTGTCTTTTGTTTGTTTTAGTTCCCCAACCTTTCCTTTTACAATTTCCGACTGATTATATTTAAACGGAATTGACAATCTCTCTATTGGATTATCTATATGGCAGGGTCTGGGGTGTAATTCGATGTTAGGGTCGAGTTCAATGTTTTTTTAGATACCATCATGGTTAACCCTTCTCAGAAACCTCCGT